GTGAAAAACTCCCCGACAAATTTTTCGTAGTGCATATGAATAAAAGTAAAATTATTTTTGTTTATTTATTTATTAAAACTGTTTATACACAGTTGATGGTACTTTTAATGAAATTCTCTATAATATATAAAAGGTAAGCTTTAAACTTCTTGTATATTTCTGTAATTGTAATTGTAATGAAAGAGAGAATAATGTGTTAGAGAAAAGAGAATTTTATTCATTCATTATATGTATGAATTACCTAAGGACAATGACAGTGTATATCTACTGCTCATTACTGATTACTATATTGTTGAATGTACTAACAGTAATGTACTTTTCAAGCATGTTCAGTGTGTTTTCAGTGCTTAATTTGTACTTTCTATCAATGTCTATAAGATGTGATAATATGAATGTGTGTGTGTGTGTGTGTGTATGACTGTAATACCGAGAATGCTGTAAGCCACAACTTTGAATGTAACCATGTTTTATTTCACTGCTTACCTCTTCACTCCCGAATGTCTCCTCATAGAAACTCACTATTAGTAGAGGAACTCAGCCTTATAAAGGACCCCTATGAATTCAATAAGGAGTTTCATAGAGAAAGATTCGCTTCAAAATAACTTTTATTATGCACTGAAATCAGTTGAATAAACCAAGGAAAAGCTAAGAATACAATATAGTTTTTTCGTCTTAGTTTAGAACTCTCATCAGCAGTGAATATCCATGAATCTATGAAGTACTAAATCTGATGATGAACGAGTAACCGATCAACTATTTCAAGTTGTTATTCGTCATAGACTGACATCAGTTGGAGGAACAAAAGAAACCTGGGAGCGCTGGACAGCCGTTTCGTCCTAGTATGGGACTCCTCAGCAGTGCGCACGAACGACTCTACCAGAGATCGAACCCGCGACTTCCAGGTTCCGCGGCCAGCGCGTTACCATTGAGCTACTGGGTCAGAATTCGATGGTTCATATTTCCAACTGATGTCAGTCTACGATGAATAACAACTTGAAATATTTCCAAATCTCCACAACTCCCTCAAGGATCAACTATTGTTTGGGAATTCAAAAACTTAGGTTATTCAGATAATCTCGGCTTTATAGTAACAGCGCAACCGTCACCTGCCCTCATTTCTGATGTGGTTGCCTTCAAAGATAAATGATTCTCCAAATAGCATCAGTTGATCATGAAAATTACCTTGGAAATACTGATAACTTGTTTCAGACGTTATCAACGTCTTTGGACTACTGAATATAACAACATTTGGCCATGATGAAGATGATACCTAGGTTAATTCCATCATGATATCCGTTTATAGGAACTTAAGCTTTTCAAATCAGTGAGGATCTACAGCATGACTTCATGTTTAACAGTTACCCTGGAGACTTTAATCAGTGATCGGAGAAACAGCGACTTCTGATGAGCTTATCTGTGACTATTATCACCCGTAAAATGTTAACGTGTTAATTGTGAATTTTTAGGTTACCGGTTTCCATACAGCTAGTTAAAATGCTTATGGATGTACAATAACTGAAGGGGTAGTCAAAGTAGAATAAAACAACTAGTGAGTACTTTCACAATGCTTAAAAATATTGTTTTCGTCTAATGACAACTTGTGGTATTGTAATGATGGAAAAGATATTTGTAGCTCAGTGTTCTCTGACATTTTGTATTTTGTAGTGCACATTTGATCCAAAACATCATTATAACCACCCTTAGGTTTATTCAATTTCAATAATTCTATGCATGTACATGTTCTACCAGCTTACAGAGTGTGACATTAAATGTTAACCTCATTATCACTGGTATATATATGTATGAATTTCTTTATTCGAAACCGTATCAATTTTCCGCTAAATTCTGTACCTATTTTTATACTACTTGTGAGTAAGCAAAATTGTAATCATAAAATTATACCAATTTTCGTATTCTTGACACGTTCAGCATCTCGGTTATTGATCTAGGTATCTATACATGTATTGATGTGATGCTTGGTTGAACACATGCATTTATAAAGGTTCAGAATGAATTCCACAGCCTGAAAGTGAACCACTGGCGATGCCGTCTTCCATCCAAAATCTTATTCAGAAAGAATTGTATGTTTATGTAGACTTCTAAACCATATAAAAGCAATATAAAAAAGTGTGATCATTTACTCGAATTTGATTGGTTCAGTGACTAAATGAACAACTGACCAATGAGATTAGATTATTCTAGTCTATTCGACACAACCCAGTAAGTAGTGGAGAAAGAATAAGAAACACACTGAACAACCATATACACAATCGTGTAGTAGGCAGTTAGCTATGTATCTATTGTGTCTGATAGCTATTGATAATACTACTATCTAGCTGCCCGTACTACCTCGAAAGATGGAGTGGGACTCGAACCCGTGATTTGTTGTTCGTTAAAAGTCAACTCCCTGAACATAATTAGCTGTACATGAATCGGTTACCAGTGGGTAGCCTAGGTGTTTAGTACCGATTGAAGTTTATCGATCGAGTTTCGGGTGTTATTCAACACTGTGGTGTGTTGTGTTTCTTTATTAGATATTAGGATTTTGATTGAGTAGGAAGGCATCCTGGATCTCATTAATAAGGTGTGTTTGAAAACTCCATAAAGCCGGATGTATTTCTGATGATTTGAACTTGCGTCAGTTACTGATTTCATTCGATGATTAGTACATGTGTATATAGTCCAGTTCTATAGGGGAGTCAGTCATGATTTGAACAGCTTAGTTGGAAGGTCTATGACTCCAACACTGAATGGTTAAGACTGAAATAACCGAAGGAACGTCAAATTCTTTATTGTGGCAGACATATCTTAATGATTAATGCTACTAAACTTGAAATCTAGGTCAAGCACGGCTTCCTGTAGGTTAAACCTCAACATCTGACACAATATATTGTGCATAGGTCGGTCATCAGATGGATAGCCGAGTCGTGTCTTATCACTTCATTAGGTACTGCATATAACAGGCGCCTTGTACCTGATAGGTACATTTCATGAATGGACCATTTAAAACCTTAGATCGGTGTGCTGTCACTTCGTCTTAGTGTAGAACTCCTCAACAGTATGCATCCACGACCATCCTGCTAGGGTTCGAGTCCATTGTAGAGATGGAACTGTGTCACAAAGTGACAGAAGTAGGAAAGTGTATGCCACTAGATCCCAACCCAGTGACTGAATGTCAACGTCCTCATACCGACAGCTGACAGTCGTCAACCTCTGACAAAGTCGTGGGTGCGTACTGCTGAGGAACTCTCAAACTAGGACAAAGAAGGTGTCCAGTGTTGCTAGATTTCAATGGTTTCTCAATTGTTGTCAGTCTATAATGTTTAATACCTGGAAATCAATCACCCACTGCAAATCACTGATTGAATTACCACGCAAATAAAACAGATTGAAATCAAACAGTTCACTGTTTTTATCAATTCACCACATACCGAAACCTTCATCCAGTTTCATTGGTGAGTAACTGTCCTCCCTCACAACTTGGTTGATAGAACTGAGCAAAGCTTCTTATTACAACTTGGTTGAATGACTCCAGTTAGGTTTTCACCTCCGCCTTTCTCGTTGATTAAGTTATCTGAGGAAAAAAAGGAATCAGAAGGTTAGCATGTTACTTTATAGTTGGCAATTTTGATTTTAGAAGATTTAGTAAGATAATAATCATCATCTCCGGAGGAAATTCATTGGAATTAAAAGCTGGTTGACTTACTGAAGATATTCACAGTGTAGTAACATCTTTAGTGTAATGGGTTACCTCTAAATATTTGAATTTCAGCCTTCTTTACGTAAGTCGAAATAGCACCTATGACTCTACTCCATCTTATTTGATTCCATGTCAATTTTATGAGTTCAAAATTGCCTACAAATGAAATCAACCAATCAGAAAAAGATGTTTTTAACCATCAATCAATCATATTTTCGCTGGGTAGATTAGTTGATTTCACTTGTTATTTCATATACTCACTTTTGATTCTGGGACGATTATTGCTAGACCTCAGCTGAAGGGATGAGTTAACTTCAAAGTTGAGAAAAAAGAAATTATCGAATGACTTCAAAGGTCAACATAACAGCTACCGACGTAACCAATTAGAATTCTGTATTTTAAGAAAAAAAACTACCTTTCCAGTCGAAATAAGGAAACGTATTTGTTTATTTCATGCGTTGCTAGAATTGTCTTTAAATTCACTCGACTAGCCAATTGACTGAGACCAACCAATACACTGAACCAGTCTGTAAAATGAAGATGACCAATCAGAACGAAGGTCACAAGAGTAGAAAGATAGACAGGTGTGAGTAAGTTTCATTGGAAATAAAGAGAAAGTCCAATTGAAAAGAAGCGCGTGGGTGGGTTATGGGATTACGTCACACTTATGGCTTATTGAGATGCGAAGACGGACATGAAGATAGACAGGCATACAATACATTGACCAATCACAAACAGGTCGTTGTTAAAGGCGCACGAAGCTAGCAGAAAACAGAATCAAATTAATAGTGTCTGAAAGTAGTACAACTTGTCACTCTATATCACACTAGGGTCAGATCAAGTCAGTATGACCCTATTTTTACCCTAGTGACTAATTCTCCATATACATTTCCATGCGTTAGGTTTTCAGAGTGAACTGGATTAAACTTGCCTACCGTGAAACAACCCAAGGATCCCCCTGATGCTATGCATAGACTTTGAAAAAAAAATGCCTAGAATTCCCTATCGATTGATTAAAACTTTTTTTTTTAAAGATCTGAAACTTACTTACATGTTCATATTGTTTCATCATATAACCTTGAATGCCTTTTTTTCGTAACTCGCTTTATATGTGTATAATCTATTTAAGTAGTATATTGGGATTGATAAACATACTGCATGCTGACTTGAATTTTTATGCTGTGTAACGCATTCCTAATATATTTATGAAAAGATACAAAGCATATATTAACAGTTGAGCATGATTAAACATGTGTCTTTCATTTTTAATCTTTTGAAAATAATTTTTGTATATTTCCAGTGATTTTAGGCTCAATACTCGGATTGTTAGTATTCCTTTTGGCTGTTCTACTAGTTGTGTATAGTCTAAGACATAAGTGAGTTCAGTGCATTGTGTATGTTATATTACTGTTGTTGAATACTGAGTGGCAGTTGTCACTTTTTCTTTATATAGGACACTGCAGGATTCGAACAAGCAACACCAGGAGTTTTACCTCAGTATTTCATTGGTCGGTGGTTTGAACCATGTCGTGGTCCATATTTCTAATTCACTTTCGATTATTAACCAGCATCAATATAAGCCTGTTAGACAACGGCTATCTCAGATAGTCAATTTTGATATAACAATAGTTGAGTGAATTCAGCTTATGTGAATATTGACTGCCTAGTTGATCAGTGTGTGATATTCACTTTGAAGGTGTTGCTAAGTAGACACTGACCGGAAACAAAAAATCCACTTTCATAGGAGGACATTATTTTAGAAGAAAACACCAAACCAAATGAATAAGGTTGAACTGTTAAACAGAGGTTGATTGAGAAGGAATGTGAATGTTGTGTGTGTGTCTGTATGCATGTGTTCATGTGTTTGTCTGTCTATATTTGATAAAATAAGCTTAGAATGGACTGACTACATAATGGAACTTGAGTGGTATAAGGGTGTACTTTGTGGACATCAGTAATCACATATGCTGTTCATCGAAATGGTTATTTACTGGATTACCAAGTCAAATTGTGAGGAAAATTATTCACTGATGTCATTGAATAACGTGTATATCCCATTACGAAATTGAAGAAAGTTGTAAGTTTAGGCCATTGATTTCCAATCTGGTGGTAGAATAGTGATGCGCTTGGTGCCAGACCTGACGATCTTTGAACCTGTCCTTCATGGGGTCGTGGGTGCGCATTGCTTTACGCTCTCTTATTCTAACTGACCTGTGGTCGACTACTTTGACTTATGTATGTGATCTCGCAATCACTGCATGACCCTGATGGGGATCGAACCCAAGACTTCTAGGACCCCTGACCAGTACGCGACCATTGAGCCACCAAGTGGGAACAACTACTTCAAATCGAGAAATAAATCCTTACAAACCTCCATAGTGAATTAATGTGTACTGCTCATTAGTGGCAGGCGTCGATATGAGATTTCCAGAAGTCCTAATGAGTTGTGACCGGTGAGGTAAACCAAGCTGAACGTAAGGACAGTTACTCAACGATGCGAATGGATTGCGTTCGTGCTATATGGTGAACTGAAAGAAGTTAAAAAATTGTGGATTGGTGAATCTCAACCCAATGGCTCGATGGTAAGGTGCTGGCGGAACCTGAAGGTCGTGTGTTCGATTCCTAGTAGGATGAGGAGTCCTTTACCAGGATGAAACAGCTGTCGACTACTCCCAGGCCTCTAATGGTTCTCCAACTGATGTTAGTGCATGATTAATATAAAGCTGAAATCAATAAATAAATCTCCTAAAACTTCTAGATTGAACTTATTGTTTGTTGTGGAGATATTACTCCGTTGTATAAACACATTATCGACTGACGAAAGTGTTGCGAAACTTATGCCCTGTGTTGAACTCAATCAGTGAATCATAAGCATGGAAAAGCATATGCCAATACGGTTATATTCTGACGGGGAAGTGTATACAAAATCAATCATCATGAGACACTGTTAAAGCGATATCTTCCACAGTTATCAGTGTCTGTCACGTGATTCGTGGTTATATTCAGCTGATATTACCGTTATATAATATCAGCTGACTTCCACTAGCTGTCACGTGGTGCAGAATACTGTATAGGTCAGAAAGTCACTGATTTCAACCATTTTAGCATGAGTCTTCAACCACTGATTCTTATCATCTCGGGGACCCCAGCTCATGCAACGTACATCTTCCCATACAGCTTCGACCAGTAGTCAAAGACTTCATTGATTAATGTCACGTCTTGGGTTGGCCACCTGGAACCCTCTTCTCACCTAATCCAACCTACCCTAGCATGACACGTCAAGGTAGGAGGTGGCTTGATACGTGCAGTACATGTCAAATCCACCTCAGTCGACTAAGGTTCACAGCCACATCAATCGATTTGCCTGTCTTGCCTAGTACTCTTCACCTGACTTCAACATTTCTCATAAGGTGATTCCATCAGAAACAAGTAATGCTACGGAGACACCTATGATCGAAAACTTGTAACCCCCTTTTGTCTCTTACTTTTAACGGTCATGTCTCACAGTCCTATAAAAGGACAGATAGACACAGATATCCAGCTAGTCGGTCCCACAGATGATGCAAGTTAGTAAATACTAAATGAGCTTGCTGTATCTGAGCTGAGATTTCGTTAGCAACCCTCTTAGCGACACATTCGAACACTTCAATCCTTAGACTGGGACTAGTTGTCGACTAGTCCTATAGCATCATCTTACATTTGATGAAAGGTGGGAGACACATACCAGCCAAGCATCCTCAGATGTCTGTTCATCATGTTCAGATGAGCATGCATTTTGTTGATATATTTTCATTTATTATTATTATTAGCCCCTTGGGTTCCTAGTGGAACACAGGGCTTCAGTAGCACGTCTCCAGTGATCTCTGTTCTCTGAGATTTTTTGAACCTGGTTCCACGACAGCCCAGAAGCTCTCATTTCCTCCTCGCACCATCTCCTCCATGTCACCCCTGCCTCGGACGTCCAACTCGTCGTTTCCCATGGGGATTATACTCGAGTACCTGGCCTGACGCGTGATGTCCCCAGTCTGCCTTCTCAGTGCATGCCCAATCCATCTCCACTTCCTCCTGCATATTTGTTGGGTGATAGGTTCTTGGTTGGTTCGTTCCCACAGCTCCTTGTTGCTTATTCTTATTGTTCTGGCCATCTGATCTTCAGTAGCGAGCCAGACCAGCGAAGGTGGCAGTTGTTGATGAATGTCTGTAGTTTATTGGAAATCCCTTTCGTGACGCGCCAAGTCTCTGAACCATACAGGAGCACTGACTTGACGTTGGTGTTGAAAATCTGGATCTTGTTTCACATGCTGAGTGCAGAAGATCTCCACACTGGTTTCAGGCTAATGAACGCCTGTCTTGCTTTTCCGATTCTGACTAGTTTTGACATCCTCGTCTGTGCCGTGGCCTGTAGTTGAAACAGTGCTTCCTAGATAGGTGAAGGAGGTTACTTCCTTTAAGTTTCTCCCGTTGACGGTGATTAGAGTTTGTTGTTGTTGTTGGAGTTGTTGGTGCGGTATCTTCATCACTTCCATCTTCTCTATATTCACTTGAAGTCCCGTCTTCGCTGCCCTGCCTCTTCTGTCAACTTGTTAGTTTTCTCCTGTAGATCTTCAAGTTTGTGTGACATCAGACACAAGTCATCCGTGAAATCGTAATCTTCTAGGTTCTTTTCCACGGTTCAGCCTATCTCCCTCTTCTCGCTCCTCACTGTTTGCTGCATGATCCAGTCCACCACAATCAGGAATATCATGGGTGATAGTAGGCAACGTTGTTTCACTCCTGTCTTCATTTTAAAAGCATCACTGAGCTTCCCATTGTGAATTACTTGGAATGTAGCATCTGCATATGAGTTGTTGGATGAGGCTGATAAAGGTTTGCGGCACTCCGTAGTAATGAAGCAGTTTCCAAATTACCTCTCGGTCGACACTGTCAAAGGCCTTCTCAAAGTCGATGAAGTTGAGGTAGAGAGCTGATTGCCATTCTATACTCTGTTCTATGATAATGCGAAGCGTTGCAATTTGGTCTGCACATGATTTGTACTTCCCGAATCCAGCCAGCCTGTTCCGGTCGCAGTTTTGAATCTAGTGCATCTTTAAGCCTCTCCAGGATGATGCGGCTTAATATTTTACTTGGGGTGGATATGAGGGTGATTCCTTGCCAGTTCTTGCAAACACTGAGGTCTCCTTTCTTCGGCAGTTTGACAAGGTAACCCTTCTTCCAATATTGTCTGCATACTTCAAGTCAATCAGATGACTAATAGTTAATTTGAAATCTTCATCTCCTTTATTTTAGGTTATTTGAACATTATCATAAGACTATTGATTTAGCGGCTATTTCGTCGTCTAATCGTCTTGGTTCCGCGTCATTAACTACATTCAGTCGATCTAAGGATACTTTATTATTTCCAACATATAAAAAGTCTATATCATCGTATAATACTATTCTATCCAATGGAAATCATCATTGTAATCTCTTTAAATCTTATCCTTATTTAATAAGTCATAATGCTATCAATGAAAGTGTTCCAGATCTGCCTATAGGTCAAACAATGATGACAACAGGATTGCATAGTTCAACAATTTCTGGTATGAATAAAAAAATATCAAATATGGATTTAATTACAGGCGGCAATGGTGGTGGTGGTGGTGGTTATCTTCCGCCATGGCGTAGTTCCCTCAGAAATAACAATCGTAATAATAATAATAATAATGGTAATAGTAATAATACTCCAAATGCTATATCCGCGTTAACATTGATACCAAATACACCTGGTTCAGAGCATCGACAAATTATCAGTTCTCTACCATGGCTTCGAACAAATTCTACATCTCATCTGACAATGACAAATCATGGTCATATAATGAATAATCGAAAAAATACTACTACTACTAGTAATAATAATAATAATAATAATAATAATAATAATAATAATTCAGCATTTACAGCTTCCAGTGAAACAGTTCTCTTTTCTTCATTGAATCCACCGAATGGAATACCACGTTCATGGTGGTTACCATGGCGTAAAAGTATGCGAAAAAAACGACGTTTGTATACACAATTACAAAGACGTCAAGAGATTCAATCTTTATCTCAACGTGGTCTATTAGGATCATCTGGTAGTAGTAGTATATTGAATAAATCAACATCACATTTACGTAATAGTCATTATTTATTAAAATCAACTAGTGAACTTATCAATAAGTCATTAAGACCAGAATCTATACCACCACCACCACCACCACCATTACCACCAATACCACAATCAGCGTCATCATCGAAACGAGAAGAATTATTACATTCTTGTGCTTCTTCACCGCCACCGCCACCGCCACCACCGTCTTATCCACAACATCTTCAAATGAGACCATCAGAGATGATAAATAGTTATGAAAGGACAATATTGACAACATGTAATGGAAATAATGTAAACAATATTAGTGAATTATATGCTAATCAAAATTCATTGAATTCACCAACATCACTAATGTATTCTAATTATCCATTAATGAATAATACATCAAATGATCAACATATACTAAGTACATCATCAATATATCATAAACAAGTTCAAATATACAATCTACATCATGGATTAATATAAATGATAATGATTTACCATGGAAATTTACACCACCAAGTAGAAATAGTTTTAGTAATGGTATTCGACGATTATCATCATTCTTTCGTGGTTTCAATCATACTACTAGTAGTAATGGATCATTTACACCGCCAAAAAATTATCCATCATTTAAAAAATCATCTTTTCGTTCTTCATCATTTAATACACGTTCAGAAATGCCATCAATGCCAACTTTGCCAACATTTAATCATATGACTACATCAAATATAAGTAATCAACATAATAATAATGATAATAATAATAATAATAATAATAATAATAATAACGGTGGTAATGGAAGTTATATGAATAATACTGAACCAGTTGCCAATCATTTTCTTCCTGATAGAAGACATGACTCACTTCGACAAACTATACGTCATCCTACACATCCATTGATACAACACGCATCACAAGCTCTGTCAGGTAGGTGGTGGTTATTCACTTCGAAATTTTGGTAAACGTTTTATACTACTTATTAGTAGCTAAATGTAATTTAGCCTAAATAACCTTTTTTAACACTGGGTTATTCGATTCACTGGCGATACTATGGCATCACAGCTATTTCCACCCCGTAATTCGATTGATTCTTGATCTGTTGCCCTTACACAGCATATTTTTTGGTGGTTTAGTAATCGTTTTTATTTTTATTTCTGAGCTTATCTATTGAAATCTGACTGACTTTGCATATTGTGATGACATTTTGGTCCTTAGACAATTACGCTGAGTGGATTCGTATTGTTTGTTAATTTAGGTTGGAAGGTTATTAAACTTACTGAATCGATTCTTTGAGCTCCCTTTTGATAAAAGTCTATCATTCTCACCAGATTAAGCATACCAGAGACTCGGTCGTATGGAATCAGAAGATTGTCTTTTCTTTCCGTGATAGTAATTGCTGTAGTCCCATGTCTCATAAAATTGTTAACTTATATCCAAAAAAGCAAAAGTAACAGTCAATGATAGGGATAGAAAGGAAAAATTCAGTATAGTTAATTGGTATTCACAGCTCCAACCAATCATTTCACGCCACACATAGTTGATGAAATTATGCACAAAAACATCAGTTACTCATAAGTAGTGTGATTATTATTGATAAAAATGTTACGAGGTGACTGTGAACCAAGTAGTTTTGTCGAACCACAGGGTGGTAAGAAAAATAGTTTGAATCTTCAACTCACCTAAATATATCCATGGTAATGTATTCATCTTGATGATTAGAGTGAAATCCAGGACGCGCGTTTTGTCCTGTTTGGGACTCACCAACTGGATGCACCAGTATCCCAGTGAGTGATGTTCCTGCTGAAACTCGAACCCAGAGCACAGTCCAGCGAGTAATTTGACCCTGTATAGAAACGGGGAATTACAAGTACTGAACAACTAAATATATCCATTTTAGAAAAGGGCTACTTGAGATAGCTCAACGGGAACATCATTTGCAGAATGAAGATTTTCATCAGCTACACACAACTTGAATGAATAAGTAAATAATCATTATCGCAAATACTAACATATATGAAGCGTTTTAAGATACAGATTAATGTATATTGGTTGGTCTCTGGAGGGAAATCACCTTCATCTTGTTCTAGTCTTAAGTGCTTGCTGATCGAATTCTGTTGACCATTTTTGCAATGTCAACACACGATAGGAGACTCACCATCGCGATGCACTGGGTTAGTTGCAAATTGATGGAGGTAATGGGTAGGAAACCCTGCTTGACCTTTGTTTCGCCTTTCTTGATACTCATCAACAAAGCTTATCTGCTAAGTGGAGGGAAGTGATGTCCCCTCTGAGTTTCGAATCTACGTCACCCAGTTACAGACGTTACCACTGAGCTATTCGGGCTGCGACTTACCTCTAGTAGGAGTGGATTAGGTAGTTGATTGTTCGCTTGAGGGTAACCAATTCCATGTTGTCTAGTTCTAAGTGCATACTGATCGAATTGCATCGGTCATTTTTGCAATTTAGCCACCATGCTAACAAGCTCACCATCGCAATGCACTATGATAGGTGGTCAATCGATAGACAGATGTTGTACACGTTTCCATTTAGTGTTAGCCGAAGGCGACTACATAGTCATAAACGGTGCAACCGAAATTAACCAAACCTCTCAGTTTGGAGGTTTGCGGGGATTTGTTTATCGATTTCAAGCAATTATTCATCACGGATAGACATCAGTTGGAAAACCATTAAAATACTTGGAGCACTGGGATTCCTCAGCAGTGCGCACCCACGACCTTTAGGTTACCTGGTCAGTACATTGCTGTCAAGCCACTGGGTCGGAATCCAAAGGTCTACATGTTCCTACTTTTGTCAGTTTGCAATATAGCGCGACAACAATTCGTTGAGTACCTGTTCTCACATCCCACTTAATTTGGCGCACCGGTCACAACTTCTCACTCAAACTTCAGAAATCTCATCTCGAAGCAACCCAGTCACTAATGAGCAGAAGATAGTAATCTGCTATGGAGGTTTGTGGGGATTTATTTATTGTTTTTAAGTTGTTATTCAGTGGTAGTGTGCTCGCAACGGAACCTGGCTGACCTGGGTTCGACCCCTGGCAGGGTTATGTGTGCGTACTACTGAGGTGTCTGACGCTATGATGAAACAACTGTCCATTGCTCCCAGGTTTTTAATGGTTCTTTAACACTGATGTCAGTGGGTGATGAATAATCATTTTGAAGTAAATAAATTGAGAGTTTGATACTTGATTATGATTGTAGGTGAAATGAAAAGCTGATTCATTGCAAGATTCTAACCAGCGGCCTCCGGGTTACCAAACTAGTATTTTACCTAGATGCCTATGGTATGAATCCACCCATAACCCAAGTTTTTATCTGACCTTCATTCATCATCATCATCATTATCCAGTATCAATATGAGGATTTTGCTAAAATATGATTATCTCAGAAAGTCCCATTGAAAGATTAAGAAATATTAACACAAATGATTAATGATACTCAGATAGACTCAAAAGTTTTCATTGAGTTTGGTTTCGATTAATCTGTTAGTTACACACACCAATAAGTCATGTTTACTTGTTTCTCTTTGTCAACAAGAGACAACTCTCATTGGTTCACTAAGGTTGGCGAGGAATTATTGTACTACAGTTAGAGGTTTATCAAGAAGGGGGGGAGGTTATATCCAAGGCAACATTCGTCAAGGGAGGATATCAGTTGGAAGAACATTGGAAACCCGAGAGCACTGGACAGCTGTTTCGTCCTAGAATGGGACTCCTCAACAGTGCGCCTCCATGACCTCGTCAGGGACCGAACCCATTGCCTTCAGGTTCCGTGGCCAACACCTTATCATTGAGTCACTGGGTCGGGATCCATTGGTCTATATTTCCAACTTCTATCAGTTCATGGCATAACAAGACCATCACCCAATGTCATCATTGAGTATTTGTCCTCACGGTCACCCGGTTTTCCCCATGGACCATTGGATCCCGACCCAGTAGCTCAATGACGTGCTGGCCACGGAACCTGATGACCGTGGGTTCGATCCCTGGCCGGGTCGTGGGTACGTGCTGCTAGGGAGTCCCATGCTAGGACGAAACAGCCGTCCAGTTCTCCCAGGTTTCTAATGTTCCGCCAGTTAATGTCAGTCTATGAGGAATACACAACTTGGAAAAACCATCAAATCCCCACAAATCCCTAAATTAAAGTGTTTTTGGTTTATAAATAACTTTCAGCGAAGATCCAGTTGAAGGTAGGTCGGTCGTCAGAGTTAAGCAGATGTTCAGGAATCAAGCTACTGACTGATTTGCGCTCTCTTCTAAACAAACAGGACTGTCCAGTGCTCCCAGATTTTCAATGGTTCCCTTACTGATGTCAGTCCATGATGAAAACTACGTCTAAAACAGGATAATGTTTGGAGATGCGTTTGGGTGGAACTCAGTTTGTGCCGTTTATGTAACCAACTCCACAGGAGCAGTTGAATTCGTAGATACATAAAAGTGACTCTGAGCGAGCGATAGTTTGTACTTCACATACCCTTGAGTGGAAAAGAAGGTTTTCCTCAGTGTTTTACACAATTAATTCTCATATATCTTCTTTAGATCTAATATTCATAAACCTTGTCTTCTTTGGAACCCTAACGGGGTTCTTTCTTCTTAGTCGTGTTGTTTAAGCTGTCTGTTCCACTTTGCGAATCTTGAAGAATAATCATTTTGATAAACAGTCTGTGAAGAGACTCTTGTGCACATTGAACGGATTCAACTTATTTTCTTGTCTAGTGGAGAGAAGCCCATTACTCTTAGGTTTGACAGACTAGTATTTATACTGGTTTAATGGTTGACGGTGAAATAAAGATTTGAACTATGACCGTGTTCGAACCAGCGACCACTAGGTTTCTGACCTGATGTTCTATCAACTGAGCTACGACATCCTACTGTTAACCAGATTTTTATTTTACTTCATTCACTATGGGTTGTTTATCCGACGCCGTAGTAACGCATCACCAAGTCCAAATTCTCATTTCACCTTCAATCATCATTCTATAAAGGTGATTGACAAATCTAAATTGTACATTAATAGTGTACAATAGGAACAGTCCCTTCCTTTGGGATTTCTAATTTCAAGGCTATTCATCTTAAGGTAATCAGATCAAAATGCTGTCGACAACCATGTGGACATCTTTGCAGCAGTAGGTAATGAGGCATACCTATTTCTTGAAAGCTAATGATATTACCTAATTTCCAAGATTTCAATAGGTGGGACGGGACTCGAACTTATGACTTATCAGTTGAAAGTCAAGTGACTAGACCAATGAGCAGATTGTTTCTGTGAAAAATACATTTGTGAAAAGAGTGACTTCTAAAGATAACTTAACGTTTTCCATATAAGTTGACATTATAGCTTAGCTCAATTCAAGGTCATTTTATCAACTCAGTATTTTTTTGTACAACTGAGTTTTTGGAGGAGATAATTCTGACACAAAACTATTATGAACCGGTCAAATATACTACTACTAAACAACTTGAGTAGTTAGAAACCAGTTAAGCTGATTTGTAGATTTTGTCAGTCAGATCAGAGTCGTCTAAACGCTACACTAAACGGCCGTTCCTCACGTTTGCGGCCTAGCCAGCTAGCTCATTAGTACTGTCTACTCCGGGAAAATTCAGCTCAAATCATCTATAAATTGATCCTCCTTTTTAAAGTATTCCGGTCTATGGAAGTCAGCTAGCCAGGTTGATGTAGTCTGAACTAATCCGCCTGTATGAGCTGAATTTATCCGGCTACACTGGTGATCAGATGGCTAGGCCTGAAACGGACGAAACTGCTTCCCAGTGTTTAAATCACTCTGATCTCACCGTTTGGTGAAATCTACAGACTAAATCTGAGTGGTTTCTGACTACTCACGTTATTCGATTGTGATCACTAGTCTCATCTCCTATTAAATGGAGGTTCCAAGACGATTTTATATGAGTAATCCGTTTGTGAATTGGTTATTTGAAGAGTTGTAGATATGTAATCAAGTCAGTTATGAGCGAATGAAAACATCACGTAATCAGGATACATTGTACAGTCTTAAATTCTAAATTGGGCTCATCTGTTGGGGGTTTACATAGAGTTAGTCACCAACCAAACGTTGTGACTGCCTGCCTAGCATATAAACGTTTATCTTTCGGTGTAAAAATTGGACAGTATGATAGAATGTAATCATATATTAGATTTGATAAAGCTAACACACAGTGATACAGTGTTATTTACTTGATGACATTTCTAGCCTAGATTATTATCGCTCACAATCATATCAATGTGTAATCACACTCCACTTTCAACAGCTGATTTTTATAGTTATGTCACTTCCGTCATTCTCTGCTTTTATTGGTGGAAAGTTTTTCCATATCTCTGGTATATGTGTTACATCATTCATATTATGTGTTAGGTGTTGGTTGATTCTATGAGCAAAAATTCAGTAATCAATCTATCTTTCTCTCTCCACCTAATTATATTGGATTTGAGTACAGTGATTTTATCTGACCATATTGTGTGTGAGTAGAAAAAAGTTCACAGCTTTCATTGTGTTATTGGATAAAAAAGGAACATCAGAAACTTTACGTGGGATTCTAAACAAGACTGGAATTACAGTGACATTTAAACTAAAAAACTTACAGATAAGGTTTATCAGATTAAATATCCCATAAATCCAATTCAGCAAGATAATCTAATCTATCGAACTCTGTGTAATGACTGTGAGGTCAAGTACATAGGTTTTAGTAGCTGGTTGGGATCAGTTTGTTTAGAGAAACGTAAGAATGTAGATGAATATAGAATGACAAACCCGAATAAGATCAATAATCTAGATTGGAAAAACTCGGATATTGCAATGCATGGATTAACGCTTGATTATACAATGTAGTGGGTGAGATAAAACCACTATACTCAAGTCATATATAGTAACGATGATTGGTAGCTAGTAGTGAAATCTAGAATGCGCACTTCGTCCTATTAGGGACTTGTCAGCTGGATGTACCTGCTTCCCAGTGAGTGATGTTGTTCCCATTGGGATTCGGACTCGGGAGCGCTATCCACTACACTACCCAGCCACGATAACCACTTCTTGTGCGACGGTGGGAACAACATCACTCACCGGGAAGCAGGTACATCCAACTGACGAGTCCCAAATAGGAAGAGATGCGCATCCCGGATTCCACTGCTAGCCACTATCCATCATTACTACCATTAGAGCACCGGTAATATCGTGGCATCCGTACATAATCCCATATACCAATAGAGACCGATCAGTTCGGCCCGATCAACAACGGTATGACATATATATATATATATATATATATATATATATACTAATGAGTCATATATAATTAGGTGAAGAGAGAGATAGATTGATAACTTAATCTTTGTTCATCGAATCAACCAAGACCCAACACATGTGGAATAGGAATAACGCAACACCTACATCAGGGATTCGGAAAACTTTACTACCAATGAAAACGAAGAATATGAGATGACAGGACTATAAAAATCAATTGTTGAAAGTGGTGTGTGATTACACATTGATATGATTATGAGCAATAGTAATTTGTGCTTGGAACGTTGTCCAGTAAACAATGGTGTATCGGTATATGTTTTACACCATATAAACAAATTTAATATAGAAAACTGTATCCAATTTTTTAGTTGTGTTGTATTCAACATGTAATTTTATATAGCATCCAGCTTAGAGGGGAAGTTAATATTTTGCAAAATAAGGAAAACTACTCAGTTATTTCACTAGTTACTGGAGTGGCCATTCATATTCAAATCAGCGAAGTATTTTAGTCTACTTGATGATGAGCAGTGGAATTCAGCATAGACGTTTCGTCATATTTGAGGCTCGTCAGCCGAGTGTACTAGTATAGCAGTAGGAAATCACGAGCACCAATCGATGATAATGACTGACATGGATTGGACAAGAGGTGATTCTCGTGTCAAACTGGTCTAGAGGATGACACTTTTGTTATGATCCACAGTGTATATACCGATACCAATGCTCTGACGTGATACGTTTAACTATAGAACAATGACTTCTTAGCTCGATATTCAACTGACAGCAGAAGAAGACGATGAAATTGAAAGTATATTTACTTCAACCGAAACCTAATGGCTGAAAACTCAGTCGTTTTGTATATCCCTAGATGACCTTGACTAGGAAAAATAAAATAGCATATTTGAAGTGTAAAATGAACCAATCAGCATTTGCTATCCTAAACTGCCCTAGAAAATAAGTAAACATAGCATGGCGCAAAAACAGCGTGAAAATAAGGTTTAAATTTTACAAGGATAATATAAATGTAAACTAGTTTTTCTTGGAGATTAGGCATCCATAACAATTTTCATGTTTGAAATGATGAATACTAGGTTGGAGTCTCGGTGGGAACAACACTATCACTCACTGGGATGTAGAGATGTATCCAGCTGACGCGTCCCAGATGGGAAGAAACATATGTCCTAGATTCTGCTGCTCATCATCAAGTAGATTACACTATAATGAATATCCAAACAGTATCAATGCATCCGTGTGAACAATCCATCTGTCAATAGGAGATGTCGAGAGAAATTACAAGTACTTATCAATAAGGCTGATTGAGCGAAGGAATCATATTCCTTTTCTATTACGTCTTCATCTTGGACTTTACACTGATATATAGGAGGTTTACAATTTAATCAAACTGCCAATCACTTGGTGATGTTTCGGAAATAATGACGTAAATAATCAATAGAGTTACTAAAATGGGAAATGTAAATATTGATAGAAACAAGGGGAAGGGGAAGAGGTGTACAAAGTTATCCTAGAAGTTACATCATGTTGACGGCCACGGTAACGAAAGTGGTCGAACAAACTTCTTTCGGATGCAAAGACTAGGTTTGTAAAAGTGGACTACAATCGCCTCTGCTATGTGAAGTAACCGAGTGCGTAATCCATGAGATAAATGAATTGGAATCTGATGGATGATTTTGAAAACTTTTCTAGTAACCACTTGATGTCCTGTGTCAACCAGGTGTGCAAGTATGGAGCTCTTTATAGTTATAATTTGTCCCTTGTTCAATCATGGTGGGTGGTACTCAGAAATTCGACGATGGAACTGCCTCATTGCATGTCCAATGTAACTAGCTCCACAGGAGCAGTTGAATTGATGTATGCATATAGAAGTGGTGGAATCAGGCAGTTTGTCTTTATTTTTTGCACCTAGAATCGTGTGGTTGTAGAAGGCGAGACATAGTTTAGTGGCTGGGAATGCTTTATGCAGGACCCTTTTTATGCGTTGTATGATAATCTCACTGGTAATATTACTCTTAAATTCCAGCTTCAAGAAGATTTACTTCTTAGGAACTGTTGGTATTGTTGTCTTAACCCTTGTAATATTCATATGCTTAGTTACAAACTTGTTTGGGTAACCATTCCTACTAAGCAGATCATGGATGGTGTCATCATCTCAGCGAATAGCTGTGGCACAGTATGCTAAGCAATTCACTACGTTCCTTTTGTATTGGAGGGGTAATTTCTGAAATTTACTTTCTCTTTTATAACTTTGAATATTGTGATAGGGATTTTTTTTTGTTTTGTTTTCTCTTTAAACTTTTTAGAATCTGAAGATTTACACAAAAAACATAATCATGTCTACAATTTATGGCATAATAATCAAATAATGAAATCATCATTATTTTCTAATCAAGATGGTTATCATTTCAATACATATGGTAGTGGTGATGATCATACAACTATAGGTGTTGGTGATATCCTATCTAGTTCACGTAATACAACAAAAACTAGTCTACAAGGTAGTAGTAGACTAGATTCATTATTATCAACTGAATTAATCGATTTATGCGGTGTAAATAATGATCAATTGATACATTTCACTTCTAATTCATTGACAGGAAAACAATTATCACCATTCAACTCAATGTACAATAATAATAATAATAATAATCTATTAAATAAATTTGATTATATTATAGAAAAGGAGAGAAAAAATCATTTACCAAATATAACTGATCCATATTTAGAGCCTGTATCTCTAAAAAGACGACAAGAGAATTTGTTAAATAAAAAGATATAGAGACTATAAACAACCATAATCATAATAATGAATTAGAAGTGAATACCAATAACAATTATGACCTATTGAAATTGAATAACAGTAAGTTAATGAAAATAAAGTTTATTTTTGTAACAATTCAAAAATCAATAATAATTTGAGTTAGACATTAGACTTTCAAACGATCTATGCCTACAGTTTAGTACACAAATGTATTTTACTATGTTACAGAGTTGTACTTAACATTACCAGAGTACTTAGAACTGAATGGTAGTTGAATTGGATGGCTTATTTTTATGTTATATACAAGCGAAAACTAACAAGTTGGCAGAAGAGGAGAGGTGAGGCAGCGAAGCAATACGGGACTTCCTTTAGGTCAAGGTAGAGAAGACACATGTGATGAAAACACCCAACAACCACCACTGACAGCGACAACTGGCACCAATCACCATGAACGGGAAAAATTTAAAGGTAGTTGTCTCTTTCACTTACCTAGGTAGGCAGCATCGTTTCAACTACAGGTGACGGTGGCGGCACGGATGAGGACGTCAAAGCCAGGATCAGAAAGACAGCAAGACATGCCTCCCTGCATTAATCTGAAATAATCAGTATGGAGATCTATTGCACTGTACTCAGCATAAAGCGTGAAAACATCCGGATTTTCAACACTAATGTCAGTCAAGTCAGTCAGTGCTTGTATGTGATGGCTGAGAGACTTGGCGGCGCGTTACGAAAAGCATTCCCAACAGACTGTACATATACATCACATGAAAAGCTGTCGCCTACCCTCACTCGATACTGACACTGAAGATGAGATGGTCAGAATAATAAGAATAAGCAACAAGGAAGTCACTGGGGCTGGCTGGCAACGAACCAACCAACCAAGAACCTATCGCGCAACAAATATACAGTAGAAGAAATTGGAGATGGATTGGATTGGAAATATAGTGAGAAGACGGTTTGGGGACATCATGTGTCAGGCCAGGCAGTGGACTAGAAACCAAATGGGAAACGATGAGTTGGGTATGCGAGCTGAGGGTGACATGGACGAGATGGTGTGAGGAGGATGAATGCATTGTAATTGGTGGACAAATTATATATGGATGTGTCAATTTCTTCCCAAGAAATTGTGAATCACAAAGATTCTCCAGCAACCAATCTGAAATACGGTTCTCAAGTCGTGTGGTCTTTGTGAGTTTATCTCCGTAAAAGAACCATACGGTGAGTGCGTCCATATTCCAACAGTAAGGCTGTGACTAGGGAATATAAACAACAACAACAAGAACCTTCCAAATCAAATTAAGAGCCTTCAAGGAAGCTGGTGATAGACCACAGTTCAAGTACAACACTCGGAAACTGAAGGACGAAACTACAAAGAAAATCTTCACGGCAGCCATTAAGACAAAATGGGAGATATCGAGCAAAATCCCCAAAGAAACCTAAGTGGATGAACACTGGAACTCTTTAAAGGAGATGTGGAAAGAAACCTACATAAGCGTATTAAGAAGGCAGAAGAAAGAAGACAAAGAGTGGATGTCGATGGACACATGGAAGCTGATAGAGGAGAGGAAGCTGGTAAAGCAGAAGATAAACCAGTGCAAGGATGCACAACGACAAGAGGAACTGAGTACAATATTTAAAACACTACACTGGACAAAGAAGTGAAGAAGAGTGTACAGAAAGAGGAAAGACACTTCTATGAAGCTACTGAAATGTGGGAAATCAGCAGGACCAGATGGAATCCCACCAGAAGCACTGAGAACAGACGCAGAGAGAACAGCGGACATGCTCATAGCACTATTGCAGAAGGTGTGGAAGGAAGAGAAGGTACCTGCAGATTGATTGGAAGAAGGGCTATCTTGTCAAACTTCCGAAGAAGGGAGACCTCAGTGTTTGCAGGAACTTGCGAGGAATCACGCTCCTGTCCAACCTAAGCAAGCAAAATCTTAAGTCGCATCATCTTGGAGAGACTAAAGGATGCACTGGATTCAAAACTACGACCGGAACAGGCAGGCTTCAGGAAGTACAAATCATGTGCGGACCAAATTGCAACGCTTCGCATGATCATAGAACAGAGTATAGATTGGCAGTCAACTAGATCGCTACCTCAACTTCATCGACTTTGAGAAGGCCTTCGACAGCGTCGACCGAGAAGTAATTTGGCAGTTGATTCAACACTACGGAATACCACAAACCTTTATCAGCCTCATTCAACAACTCATATGCAGATGCTACATTCCAAGTAATTCACAATAGGAAGCTGAGTGATGCTTTTGAAGTGAAGTGAAGACAGGAGTGAAACAACGTTGCCTACTATCCCCCATGATCTTCCTGATTGTAGTGGACTGGATCACGCAGCAAACAGTGAGGAGCGAGAAGAGGGAGATAGGCTGAACCGCGGAAAAGAACCTAGAAGATTAGGATTTCACGGATGACTTGTGTCTGATGTCATACAAACTTGAAGATCTACAGGAGAAAACTAACAAGTTGATAGAAGAGAGAAGGCAGAGAAGGAAGACGAGACTCTCTTCACCTGAACACACAGAAGACAGAGGTGATGAAGATACCCAATCAACAACATCAAAAACAGCAACAAACTCCAATCACTATCAACGGCAGAAACTTAAAGGAAGTAGACTCCTTCACCTATCTAGGCAGCACTGTCTCAACTACAGGCGGCACAGACGAGGATGTCAAAGTCAGAATCGGAAAAGCAAGACAGGCTTTCACTAACGTGAAACCAGTGTGGAGATCTTCTGCACTGCACTCAGCATAAAGCGTGAACAACATCCGGATTTTGAACACCAGTGTCAAGTCAGTGCTCCTATTATGGTTGAGAGACTTGGCGCGTTACGAAAGGCATTTCCAACAAACTACAGACATTGATCAACAACTGCCTACACTCGTTACTGAAGATCAGATGGCCAGAATAATAAGAATAAGCAACAAGGAACTCTGGCTGGCTGGTGACAAACCAACGAAGCAGGAACCTATCGCTGAAGAAATATGCAGTGGAAGGATGTGGAGATGGATTGGGCATGCACTGAGAAGGCGGACTGGGGAGATCACGCGCCACGCCAGTTTCTCGAGTGTCACCCAAATGGGAAGTGATGAGTTGGGCGTCTGAGGCGATGGAGACATGGAATTAATCGTGCGAGGAGGAAATGAGAGGTTGTGGGCTGTTGTGGAGCGAGGTTGAAAAGATTTCAGAGAACAGAGCGCATTGGAGACGCGCTACTGAAGCCTTATGTTCCATTAGGAACCCAGGGGACTAATAATAATAATAAATATGTTCCCACAACAAAGTAAAAATATGAGGTAACCAAATGTCCAGGATAACATAGAACATCAGGGAGGGACGAAAAGGATCAGGAATCGGGAAAGATACTAATCTTCAGATATGTTAAATTGTGTACAAGATTCGACTAATCAAGTTGACGAGAACAGGAGTTATGCTACTCAATAATATTAAGTAGTATAAAACTGAAGATATAAAAAAGGTATGTAAAGTTAACCTGTACTTGGAATTTACCGGCGGGAATTCTTGAATATAAGCTTCTTGTTTACTAGCAATAGTGAATATGATACATGTAAGGCTGATATTTCCTTAAAGACTTGAACCTATAATATCATTTACTGCTCTCATTGATGATGGTACACCAACTATCTATCCTCATAATATCTCATTCGATTATTTTTAGAACTTGTACGTGCTTTTCTCTGTTTGTAAACTTGTAATGATGAATGACGTTTGACACACATTGGATTCCTAGTGGAACATAGAGCTTCAGTAGAATGTCGCCATTTCACTCTCTTCTCTGTAGTCTTTTCAACCTGGCCCCACGACTGCCCACAAGCTTTCATTTCTTCTTCATATGATCTCCTCCATGTCACCCTTGGACGACTAACTCATCGTTTCTCGTTTGTGTTCTACTCAAGGGTCTGACCTGGTGCATGATGTCCCCAAACGGTCTTTTCAGTATATGTCCACATCTATAGAGCCGGCTTTCAACTAACAGGTCAAAGGTTCTTACCCTACTCCAACTACCAACAGTTCAAGCAGTCGGGTTGCATGATTAGCTGTCATACAATAGATTTGGTTAACTATCTAGTGTTTGTCCTTGCTAAGTGGCAATGTTAATCGTCATCGCTTTTTCTACTTATGGATTACTTTATTCTCTTCTCATTTATTTCTCCCCATTATTATTATTATTATTATTATTATTATTATTATTATTATTATTATTATTATTATTATTATTACAGAGACTGATGAACATACAGTTCATAGTGGAACAAGTTCAGCTATCAGTTCCTTAGTATTTGCTGATGACTCTGATATATCTAAAGCATCAGAAAATTCATCAAATAAATCAGATCAGTATAGTTCATTGCATAGGTTAACACCACAAATATCATCTAAAACAAGTAAATCGATTATTTCTACGACAATTTCAACCATTCAAAGAAATGCTATTTCTTCTCCTACTACTGTGGTTGCCAATACTACTACTACTACTACTATTACTACTACTACTACTACTACTACTACTACTACTACTACTACTCCAGTTTTACATCCACTGAAACATTTATCCACTATAGACTATGTAACATATGATGAAACACGTTCATTTGATAAGAATCCATTTAATAAGACAACTGTACAACCTACACTTCCATGGTCTATTGATTATACTCATGAAAGTACTTGTTATAATCCGAATATATTAAAACAAAATGAATCAATTCTACCAACATCAGTAACATCATCATCATCATCATCATCATCAATTTCACCTGATCAAATACAATTTCGTCGAAGAAGTACAATAAAAAGTGAGTGAATTCTATAAATATTTACATTAATTGAAAATTATATCTCACTTAATACAACTTAATTATTAATTTGACTATCTAAGATATCTATGGTTTCACAGACAGACAGACAGACAGACAGACAGACAGACAGACAGACAGACAGACAGACAGACAGACAGACAGACAGACAGACAGACAGACAGACAGACAGGCAGGCAGGCAGGCAGGCAGACAGGCAGACAGACAGACAGACAGACAGACAGATAGATAGATAGACAGACAGACAGAATCAAAGTAGAGTAGAACCTGGTTCACAAGTGCGTAAATTCCAGTTGCCAGACAAAGAACATGTGGATAGGATAAGAGTGATATCAAAGTAGACAAACCAGTATGGATGAGAGAATAAAAAAAATTTACAGATCAAGAAGAAGAAGATATGAAAAAGAGTGAAAACATCTGTGGCACTGTGAATAATTCCCAGCCACTGATTCCTATCGTCTTATGGACTATAGCCAAGTAGTCTGTATCGCTCCACACGGTTAATATCAAATATAAGGGACTTCATCTACTGGTACCGCATCTTGTTTTGGCCACTTGAAACCCCCTTTCAACTTCCCCTAATATGACACGTTGAGGTAAGCGGTAGCTTGGCGTGTCCAAGATACCTCAGTCGACTAAGGTTCACAGCCACATCAATCGATTTGCCTGTTTTGCCTAGTACCGTTCACCTGAATTGAACATTTTTCACACGATGATTCTACTAGAAACAAGCAATGCTATGGAGGCACCTATGATTGAAAACTTGTACCCATTTTATCTCATAGCTTCAGCGCAGTATACTCGTCTTTTGGTAGATAGTCGGATATCTCGACAGTCGATGTCACAAATACCAAACAGGCCTTCTGTATCCGAGCTGAGAGTTGATCAGGAGCCAGGTGGCTTGGGTTTATGCAACTCTTAACTACATGAAGCGGTTGACACATCCCACTACCGCTCCTTATCATTTAACAAGGAGTGGTTGTAGTTCAGTCCTAGAGCAGCATCTTACATTTGACAGACCTATATTGATACTAGATGATGATTGAAGGTGAACTAAAAATCTGCTAAACCACGATTTGGGGTTAGTTTTCATCTGAATGGCTTAGTGGTTACTTCTGGGAGTTGGAAACCACTGAAGAGACACCAGTTTTCTTGTAGTTTCAGACATACCCTAGTGATAAGTGTGAAGAAGGATGAAATGTAGATTGAGCACAACTTTCTACCGATGATCTCATACAATCTAGCACCAAAAAATCAATTGACATTAGAAGATGGTTTTTATAAAAGTTTATTCTATGCCTTTCAGTGATTTACTGAGTTGAATGCTCATCATATAACAACATATGAAACAACTTGATTCACTTATTGTAATTATTAAAGAATTCAAGATATGTGGATGGGGTTTACATTGAAACGAAAAGAGGCAAATCAGCCTAGAGCTTGGGATAGTTAGTTGCCATATTTCACATCAGTGTACATTTAGGAGTTGATCGAAAAAGGTGATCATCATCATCATGACGATCAACATAGCACTAAGCATTACCGCGTAACGGTCCGAGTTGCCACAGCTTATATCAACACATTATGTAACAAGGCAATAAAACGGAAGATAAGGAAAGAAAGAAAGAAAAATCGATCGAAAGAAGTAGAAAGTAGTAAAAAAAAAGAGGAGGAAGGAATGAGATGATGAGATTAAGTATAGCGGTTAATTTGACAATAGTGTGTATACATTCAAGCCACTGACATCGGTTCTCAGCCATATCACTTACAATCTCTTGTCCCGTGGACCCCAATGGCTAGTCTGCACCCCCCCCTTCTCCTACATGATTGACACCAACAGTAAAATACTCCATGAAGTGATGTTATATGTTTAGTGTGGGCACCTGGAGCTTGTTTGCAGCCCACTTCAGTCAACATTACATGGTAAGGTAGACGGTGACTGAACATGTGTAACACGTGTTCCAGCAATCTCAGTCGATAAAGGTTCATAGCCGCATTGATTGATTTTTATCTCTTCCTTAAAACTCTACATCTGACTTCTGCATTGTTAATGTGGTAACACCATGACTCACGACCTGTGCTACGAAGGTAAAGGTCGGAGAATTCCTGAAATCTTATATAATATAAGTAAATAAATAATAATCATAATGATTAACGATAAAGGTACTTTTGATAACACTTGAGGTATGAATGATAACAAAATGGATTATGTAATATATGGAGTGATTCAGAGAAGGTTTGTAACTCCGGAAGGAGAGTAAAACTGATGAAAATAGTACATTAATAGGATGTTATGTAATAGGACTAGAAAGGTTGTTAAGATGCAACCTATATTATCTTTGACGTGATTAAGACGATTCAGTGAAATAACACCGGGAACTATTCAAGCAAGAGTAAATTTGGAATAAATCATGCGGAATGAAATTGTGTTCCACCTTCTCTTCATTATATTATTTACAACTGTCTATATTAGGTCATTAATATTTGCCAGCATATTTGTTAGATGGCTAGCACATCGTTACTGTTGACCGGAGAAGGATACAAAATAGATGTGTAAAGCTTCTGTAATGCTCCGCTGTTTTTCAGGAAGAAAACCCCATTTCTCAAGATTTTCGCCTTTTCAACTGATATTTTATAACCTGAATATAAGGCATGAACTGCGATAGCAGAGGTTTCTTGAAACTTCGACTGTGTATAGCTAGACGTGTTAGCACTTAATATGATATCTCTCCAATGTTATATGGTATCACATTCACTTCAGTTGTTTCAAATGCACAAATGTGAGTGTAATGTGTTCGTCATCATGAAGAATACTATGATGTTGTAATTATTAAGGATAAGCCTTATTTCCTCTGATGTGTGGATGTTCGCTAAGGAAGTAATATAGTACTTATCCAATCTTTATAGCTTAGCTTTTCCGTATTTTTATTCGATAAACTTTTTACTATCCTTTTTAATAGTTTTTCTGGATAGTTGTTTTGTTTTAAGACTTCTCGAACAAGTTGCTTATCTGTTTACTGAGATTCCACTTTATTTGGTATCCTTTGTCATCTCGTCAACAGATTTTTGACAATGTTAAACTTAGTTTCCAATGAATGAGTCGAATCGAAGTCAGTGTACTTGTTAGAATGTGTATCTTTTCGATAGACATCAATGTCAAGTGTCCCCATCATTGTTTCGTATCGTCTTACAGTCTAGGCAAGCTAACGTTCTCAATTCTGTTTCTAGTTCATATGTGAATTTTACAGAATTGAAATGGTTGTTTAGGTATTCAAAAAGACTTTCTAATCCTTGTTTTTTGGTTATGACAAAGGTGTCATCAATATACTTCCACCATATTCTTGGTTTTAAATTATGTTGCCTTGAGTAGATCTGATTCTGCTTTCTGCATGTATAGATTAACTACAATAAGTGAGACAAGTGAACCCATTGCTACCCCACTGGTTTGATGATAAAGGTCCCCTCGTAAAGTAGAATAGGTTGAGGTCAGACATGATCTCAGCGTATCACAGATTTCACTGATGGAAATACTGCATCGAAGTGACAAAGAAGTATCCGACTCTAATAAAAATCTAACAACTTGTTTGTGATTTCATCAATCGGAATATTTGTATACAGTGGAAGTTAATCATTGTTTCATCATTTTCAATGGTTGTTTGTAAATAATTTATATTTAAAGTCTAATGAATATCTAATGATACTTACCAAGTTGTCTTGTTATGGTCTAAAGACTATTATGAGGTATTTTGAAAGCTTATATGTTGGGGAATCCATAACTCAACGAATCGAAAAATTGGGTTTATGGATTTTCGGAATTTTGGCAATGTCTCTCATTGAGGGGTGTGCCGAGTAAGTACATCACCTTATTGAAAGCTCTCTACTCAAACACTTGTGGGCATATTAGAGCATATGGCGAGTTGTCCAGGGAGCTATTCTCATCCAGTGGCGTCCATCAAAGATGCCCACTATCTCCACTCTTATTCAGTTTCATCATGGATTTTCTTATGGACGTCTCCCTGTCGTCACCAGGTTACACAGGCGTTGACCTAATCACAGAAAACTTTCCCTTACGCCTAGAATATGCAGATGACATAGTCCTGTTAAGTGAAGACGCTGACAAGATTCAGAGTCTTCTGAACACTTTCAGTGGCAATTTGAGAATGTTTGAGATGCGTTTCTCACCACCCAAATGCAAAATTCTGCTCCAGGATTGGTCTTCAACCGTGCCCCACTGCGGCTAACAATAGAGAGTGAAGTGGTTGAGTGTGTCGACCACTTCATTTACCTGGAAAGTCGGATCAACCCTAATGGCTCAGTTGCCGATGAAATTTCTGCACGGATACAGAAGGCTCGACTGACTTTTGCCAATTTACGCCAGCTATGGTGCCGCCATGATATCCGTTTGTCTTGCATAGCAGTCCGATCTGTTCTACTGTATGGCTGTGAAACATGGCCATTAAAAGTGGAAGACATGAGAAGGCTGGCTTCAGGTGTTTGACCACCGTTGCCTTCGTAGTATAGGACGTATTCCGTGGTGTCACCATGTGAGTAATGCAGAAGTTAGGTGTAGAGTTTTAGGGAGCAGAAGCAAATCAGTAGATGAGGTTATAAACTTTCATCGATTGAGATGGTTGGCTCCGACACGTACTACGTATGCCTAGTCACCGATTGCCTCATCACACAATGTTGGCTGAGGTGGGTCCAGGCTGGAAAAAGGCTCGAGGTGGCCAGACTGAAACATTGCACCAATGTATGAAGTCTCTGACTGTTGGTTTAAGCCATGTAGGACGATGCAGACTAAGTGGTTGGGGTCCACGGGACAAGAAGAATCAGTGGTTGGAGACTAGAGGATATGGGTGAGAAGCGATGTGAGTGGCACAGATGTATACACACATTATCCTCATCTTAACACTATATCGGTTCTCACCATTCTGTCATCCTTCCTTTCTTTCTTCTCGTACTTTATATTTCTGTTGATCGAATTCCCCTTTGTTTATCTTTCACCTCACTACCTTTCTACTTGATGTAGTGATATGAGGTGTGGCAACTTGGATCGTTACTCAGTAATGCCTGGTTCTATGTTGATATTGATGATGATGATGGGAAGGTCAATAAAGCGTGAAGCATGAAATTCCTCCTTTATAATACACTTTATTTTATCTTATCAACTACTTTCATATTCATCTCTTTATATTATTCAATCAGGTTGTGATTCACGTCCATTATCTGATGCAATGATCAGTAATCATTATTATGATTTGAATAAGAATATAAATTATCAGGATGTCTATAAACAACCACCACCGCCACCGCCACCATTGCTGTCTTGTAGTGTTACTTCATCTTCAGGTGAGGATGGAAAATTAACACGGAAATCTCATCCACCTTTACCACCTTTATGGTGTAATAATGATAACAATAACAATAGAAATTTTGGCTCATCGGACAGTTTGTATGAAACAGTTGATTTGCCTAAATCACATTCAACACTGCCAATAGACACAACAACGGTACAAATGGTAAGTATGGAATATCATATAACTAATCTTTTAATGTATATATACTACTATTATCATTTTGACTATTTAACGTAGCCTCAGACTAACAACTACCGGGCTCGAGTCGCATCGCGACCCAGATTTTCATTTCACCTTAAATCACTGTCATTTTGATTATCCATGACTTTTTCAAGTTGGTATTCATCATGGACTGATATCAGCTGAAGGGAACATTGGAAACCTAGGAGCACTGGATACCTGTTTCGTCCTAGTACGGGACTCCTCAGCAGTGCGTACCCCATGACCTCCTCAGGGATCGAACCCAAGGCCTTCAAATCCTGTGGCCATCACGTTACCATTGGGCCACTAGCTCGGTGGGGTTCAGAGGTCTGAATTCCCAACTTTTGTCAATTCATGAAATAGCACATAGGAAGAGAAGGTTTGGTGGTAGTAAATGGTGACTTCTTCACCCTCGCTCCTCCCCTTTTGGGTAATGTAGGATTATTCCAAAGTGATAAAGGCTAAATCTTGCAGCGAACATCTTGGATTTCAAACACTCAGTTGGAATACAATCGTTCAAGTTTGTGTACTTTTTTCAATCTATAATATGGTTGTTCTTTAGCTATGATTCTCCCCAGGAGTGTGCACCCATGGCCGTTCCAGGAACTCAATCTAAGACCTTCATGTTTTGTGACGACTAGATTCCCTAATGGGCACTGGGTTAGATGAAGTTCATACTTTATCGCGAAAACACACTATTAGACAACTTTGAACCATTGAATTTCTACCCAGTGGTAACGTGCTCACCAGGAGACTTGAAGACTCTGGGTTCTATCCTTGCCAGGGCGGCTCCCTGGGTGCGGACTTCTGTGGATTCCTACAGCTCCTAGGGCGAAAGAGCTGTATACTACTTTCAGGTTTTCAATAGTTCTCCAACTTATGTCACTCCATGGTGAATACCATCAAGGTAGCTACAAGATAGTAGGGAATGAGGCGAAGTGAAAATAGACTTAGCATCTAATGAATATAAAATTGTTACTGTTGAATACGGTTTGTAGTTGTAAGGTATTTGACTTCAGTACTGAGGCATGTGGGTTTGAAACTTTGAGAGGACAACAATCAAGTTCCTTTAAGGTTGGAGATACCCACCGCTGACCACTGCGCGAGACCTACGTCAGGAAGGTCTTATGGCCGATTTCCTCCAACCAACCAGCATCAATCATATTGTGTTGCCATGCAAAATTTCCTAGCTTGGTTGAATAGACTAGACTAGACAACATGAAGCCGATTACTCCTCAGTGACTATCTATGAAGACACTGACAAGATGCGGGATCTTGTGAACAGGTTGCGAAGAAATCTGAGTGTGTTAAGCTGGCATGCGTTCCAAACTTGTCATTTGTAAGATGATGCTCCAGGACTGGTCTGCAACCACTCCAGTTTATCGATAAGAAGTGAAGTGGTGGAATGTATCGACCATTTCATTTACTTTGGGAGTTGTATCAGCCTGAACGGTTTTGTTGTTGATGAAACCATAGCTCGGATGCACAAGTCCTACTTGGCATTTGTGGCAGCGACTGTCGAGATGTCCGACTATCTATCAAAGAATGAGTATACTACATTACAGTTCGTCCTGTTCTGTCATACGACTGCGATGTGACCGTTGAAAGTCGAAGATGTGAAGTGGTTAGCGAGGTTTTGATCACAAATGTCTTTGTAGCATTTCTAGCGTTTCATGGAATCATCATGTGAACAATATTGAAGTCAGGTGAAAGGTACTAGGCAAGGCGGGCCAATCAATTGATGTGGCTGTGAATCTTAGTCGACTGAGATGACTTTGATATAAACCGCGAGCGCCAAGCCACCGCTTTGACAGGTTACAGCATGTAGCAACCACCTGGTTTAGATTACTATTAAGGTATTTAAGTTAGACAATCAGCCTAATTTCATTATGCTTCTACATCCTACTACAACATCATTTACCTCCATGGGATTCAGTTCTCTGTAGTTACCTCGAGTTTGTTTTTCGCCTCCTAAGTGACCACAAAACCTCGCCTAGTTAACTGGTTCACTAGCCGGTCCTAAGCCCGAAAAAGAGGAAATGTTGGGCATAGGGCTAGTAACCTACTCCGTAAAACCAATCTAACCCCTAAAGAGACTTCAAAGCAAAAACAAAAATAAAAACAAACTTATTCCTCGCTGGCGTCGGAGAGGCGAAATGACGCCGGTTAGTGAAAGCCTTCAGGAAGCCAATTGGCCGATGTGTCTTCTCTCTCCCGATGAAAGCGAAAGTAAGAATGGGGACATGGAATGTCGCACAGTGTTTGAAGCTTGGAAGGCTGCCCTGATTGCAAAAGAGATGTGAAGGTATAGCATAGAAGTGTTGGGAATTTGCGAAAGCAGATGGAATGCAAGTGGACTCTCCAAACTGTCAACTCGAGAGGAGTCAATAATCTACTCGGAGACTGTCACCCAGACGACAAACACGAGCACACTGAGTTATGGAGTGGCTATCATGATGTCTCCAGGATCATCGAAGTCTCTCATGCAGTGGGAACCAATCTCCTCCTGCAGGATCGTGACAGCAAGGTTCAACTCAAAAGGAAGGAAAGTCACAATCATACAATGCTACACTACGCTACGCACCTACAAATAATGCAGATGAAGAGAAAAAGGATCAAATCTACAGACAACTGCAATGAGTAATGAACAAGACCCCACTCCAGTTAGTGACATCAAAATTCTAATGGGCGACATGAATGCCAAACTGGGAGCTGACAACACAGGAAGAGAACTCACCATGGGTCGAGAAGCATCCGGTGCAATGATGAACGAGAATGGGGAATTGTTTGCAGAATTCTGTGCATTCAACGATTTGGTGATTGGAGTGGGGCAGTGTGTTCAAGCACAAGGATATCCACAAAGCGACATTGATTTCACCAGACACCAGGACACACTAAGAATCAGATCGACTTTATCTCAATCTCAAGAAAGTGGAGACGCAGCCTAATGGACACAAAATCAAATCAAGAAGGGGAGCAGATGTAGGCTCACAACACACACTGTCTAGTGCAAGGAACCTACCTACCTTCAAAATCAAGTTGAAAGGCTTCAACGAAGTTGGTGATAGACCACAGTTGAAGTTCAACACCCAGAACAGAAAGTGAAGGACGAAACTACAAGGGACATCTTCACGTCAGTCATCAAGACAAAATGGGAGATATCGAGCAACATCCCCAAAGAAACCTGTGTGGATGAACACTGGAACTGTTTGAAGGAGATGTGGAAAGAAGCCTGCATAACCGTGCTAGGAAGGAATGAGAAACGAGTCAAGGAATGGATCGTGATGGATACATGGAAGCTTATAGAGGAGAGGAAGATGGTGAAACAGATGATGAGCCACTGCAGTGCAGGGATGAACAACAAAAACAGGAACAGAGTACAATGTGTAAAACACTACACTGGACAAAGAAGTGAAGAAGAATGCACAGAAAGAGAAAAGACACTTCTATGACACATTGACAAGTGAAGCAGAACAGGCTGCAGGTAAGAGAGACCAGACAACACTGTACCAAATAACCAGGTTACTATCTGTCAGGGAAGAGATCAACACAGATGAAACCAATGAAAGATAGTGAAGGAAACTTAGTTACCAAAGAGGAGAAACAAACGAAACGATGAGCTGATCACTTCAGAAAACTCTTGGATCGACCGCCACCACCACCACCTGCAACTCGTCCCTAAATACCACCAGCAGTCCAGCCATAGAATTACCAGTGAACACGAGCCCTCCAACGAAAGTGGAAGTCGTGAACGCCATAAAGCTACCGAAATATGGGAAAGCAGCAGGACCAGATGGAATCCCACCAGAAGCACTGAAAACGGATGCAGAGAGAACAGTGGACATGCTTATAACGCTACTGTAGAAGGTGTGGAAGGAAGGGAAGGTACCTGCAGATTGATTGGAAGAAGGGCTACCTTCTCAAACTTCCAAAGAAGGGAGACCTCAGTGTTTGCAAGAACTGGCACGGAATCATGTTCCTATCTACACCAAGCAAAATATTAGGCCACATCATCCCGCAGAGACTAAAAGATGCTCTGGATTCTAAATTACAACCGGAACACGCTTGCTGGCTTCAGGAAGAACAAACCATATGCAGATCAGATCGCAACGCGACGCTACGCATCATCAAAGAACAAAGCATAAAATGGCAGTCAACTAGATCGCTACCTCAACTTCATCGATTTTGAAAAGGCATTCGATAACGTCGACCGACAAGTAATTTGGCAACTGCTTCAACACTAAGCTGTTAGTGGCACAAACCTTTATCAACCTCATTCAATATCTAAGTACTACGAGATGCTACATGCTAAATTATTCACAATGGGATGCTATGTCATGCCTTTGAAGTGAAGTGAAGACAGGACTAAGATAAGGCTGCCTACTATGTATCACTGATGATCTTCCTGATTGTGGTCGACTTGAATGGACTGGATCATGCAACAGACAACTGTGAGCAGCGAGAAGATGGGCATACGCTGTCTCAAACAATGAAAAGACTCCAGAAGAAGATTTCCATTTCACTGATGATGATTTATGTCTAATGTGTTATCGCACAAACTCGAGGATGTAAAGGCGAAAAGCAACAAGTTGACAGAAGAGGAGAGGTGAGGCAGCGAAGGAAGACACGACTTCCCTCAGGTGAACGTAGAGGAGACGAAGGTGATGAAGATAGCCAAGCAACAGCAACAACAGGAACCAATCACCATGAACGGGAGAAATCTAAAGGTAGTTGCCTTTTTCGCCTACCTAGGTAGGCAGCATCGTTTCAACTACAGGTGGCGGTGGCGGCGGCATGGATGAGGACGTCAAAGCCGGATCAGAAAGACAGCAAGACACGCCTTCCTGCATTAATCTGAAATAATCAGTGTGGAGATCTACTGCTCTGCATTACACTACACTATACTATACTATACTATACTACACTACACTCAATATAAAGCGTGAACAACAACCGGATTTTCAACACCGATGTCAGTCAAGTAAGTCAGTGCTTGTATGTGATGGTTGAGAGACTTGGCGGCGCGTTACGGAAATCATTCTCAACAAAGTGCAGACATACACCAACCACATCAACAGCTGCCGACCACACTCACTCGATACTGACACTGAAGATGAGATGGTCAGAATAATAAGAATAAGCAACAAGGAACTCACTGTGGCCAGCTGGTATTTGACCAAGCAATAATCTATGGCCCAACAAATATGCATTAGAATAAAGTGGATATGGATTGGGTTGGACGCATGCTAAGAAGACCATTTAGGGATATCACGTGTCAGGCAGGCCAGGTTGTCGAGTGGAACGCAAATGGGAAAGGATGAGTTGGGTGTCCCAGCTGAGGGTGACATAGGAGAGATGGTGTGAGGAAGAAACGAACGATTATGGGCAGTCATGGAGACAGGTGCAAATGACTGCAGAGAAGAAAGTGAAATGGTGACTTGCTACTGAATCCGTATGTTCCACTAGGAACCCAAGGGACAAATAATAATAATAATAACAATAATGATAATTACAATAATAATAATAAAGTGACCACAATGACATCAAGTTGATATTTATCGTGAAATGATATCATTTTGAGAGCCATTGAAAACTTTGGAGCAGTGGACAGTTTTTTATCCTAGTATGGGACTCCTTAGCAGTGTGAACCCATGATTTCTTCAGGTCCCTTGGTCAAGACATTTTCAATCGGCCAGTAGGCCGAGAGCCAATGGTCAACATTTACTTTATTCTCTCGATTCGCTATATAGCACGTTCTTCATGCAATACCATCGTTCATTCAGTACTTGTCTTCACTTCCAAATTGGTTTTCCCCACGGGTTACAACTTCTAATTAGAACTTCAAATATCTCATCCTGAAGCCTTATCACTCATTAATGAACACTTGATAGTAATTGAATTTGGAGGTTTATTCGTAGCTTAGCAGTTTGATCTTCATGTAATCAATGTGATGTTTGAATTCAAGTTTTCATTTCACCCTCAAGCCATTTCATCTTGGACAGTTAATCTCTATTTAGCCCAGACAGAAGATGATGATGATAGTCAAACCTGTGAATTTAAATTCACAGACGTAGGATAATGCGGATTCAGTGAAGTGAAGTGGGATTTATTACTCGATTAAAGGAGCTGTGCTCCATTGGTTTGGATAAATAGATGATTTCCAACCAGATGGACTATGGGTTCGAGCCACACTCCATCTTTGGAGGTTTGGGTGGCCAAGTAGTAGGCAGTGGGTGTTACCGATAAGGATGCATATAAGTAGTATGTGTTGAGAGGCCAGGTAAATATTCCGCCGCTCCCGTATCTATTAGACACACATTCTTCCGATCATTTATTCGCATTTTAGCATACACAGCACCTCTGTCTATGGCTCCTACAATATCTAGTCTAGTCGGAAAAAAGAACTCATATTACATCGTTTAAAACGTTTTCTTTTTCGTCTCTCTGGAGAGTTTTATCGCCAGTGTCCAAGTTTTCCGTTTACGAAACATTTACTCTATTTGTTGATATTCATTTGAAGTGTAGCCACCTCCGCCTGACGGATATCGATTTGTCCTTCCCAGTTATTTACACTTGGTGACTCCACCACATCCACTGCTATACCCATAAACCGTCTGGTGGTGGTGAACTTGGCCAGCTTACTAATATCCATGCGTCAGCGGCCGTAGCTGTTGGTCAGTGGCCTTCGGAACACTCGTTGAACTGCGTAGCCACTAACTTTGCCTAGAAATCCTCATCCATAGTAGAAAGTACTTTCTGAAGTAGATTTGTTAACTTCACAGCCAAATACCATCTGATCTCCGTGCAGTCGAAGTCTTGTGCTCCGGAACTGCTGCAACGCCGGCTCCTTGGGCTGTCATACTTCGCCTCCAGTCGTTCAACCACTCTCTCCCAGTTCTCTTCCCCATCAACGCTTTCCACGCCGTCACACACCGTTTTCGCTTGACCTCTCAGCAACGTGCTAAGCACCATGACTTTCTCTCTTGGATTCCGGACACCTACCGACTCTGCGATCGCCTCGCAATCTCTGATGTCTCCATCCTCGACCACTGTAGACCATAGAGTTTTCATCACGTCCATAAGCTGTGACACTTATAGAAGATAAGCGTCAAAGGATGAATAGCAGAAGGATGGTTTTCTGTGGCACTTTGTACATTACTGATGAAATACAATAACTTTCCCATTGAGACATCAATGTGTTTCAGTTCCTCTTCTTCTATCTCGGCCACTTCATGCATTGCGCCTTTCTGAGGAAAATATTTACCTATCGCTCGTAATTGCGTATGACTTCTTCCGACCTCTCAACATATACTACTTATATGCATCCTTATCAGTAGCATTCAGTACAGTAGTAGTATCATCAATAGCCTTCACATATTTAGTATATGGCTAGCTCATTGCCTGCTTCATGTGAATGTGTATTTCGGTGTCGTCAGTTCACTGGTCAATTGAACTTTGAGCAACACTCAATTTCTAATCTCACTTTCTTGTCCAATGTAGACTTACGAAGCGATAGAAGTTCACTGCGGTGGTAATGTTAGTGAAACAAAGCTGACTCCTTGGATATATTGTGTTCTCTGAGCTGAGTTGTTTAGTCGTGGAGGTTTCAACGTCTTTCTAGACAGTGACATCATCAGCATTAACTTCAGTATGAAGTGAGCTGTCTATATCTCTCCGTGAGTGATTTAGTAGCTTAGCCTGACCAACTGGTTTGTGACTGGTTGTTTCCAGTGGTTATTGTGTCATTCACTGTATAAATCTTCCTGTTGGCTGTTCCTGTGTTTCACTCCTGACCTCTCTGTGGTATACCATCTTTCTCATTGGTTGGTAGATCGGGTCTATGTCTATGCTGACCAACCTGAATGCCAAACTTCTAAAAAATTCTCTGATATTCTTTATGTTTCACCTCTCCGTCCAAGATTTCTACATTGTCAGAATTAAATTCATTCCCATAGTTGTTATCCACGTGCATTGAGCGATGAGTGATGAAGTGTGTCGCCTTCGTCTACATGAACATCAATTGGCTATTCAACGTCATACACGACATTTCGTCACTCATCGCTCAATGTACGTGGATAACAACTATGGGAATGAATTGAATTCTGACAATGTAGAAATCTCTTTTAATGGAGAGAGGAAACATAAAGAATATTAGAGACTTCCTAGAAGCTTGGTGATCAATAGATGTATAGACATGAAAGACCCAATCTACCAACCAATAAGAAAAATGATAAACCACAGAAAGGTCAGAGGTCAAGCAGAGGAACAGCTAACAGGAAAGTCTATACAGTTAGTCAATGAAACAACAATCAAAGGAAACAACCAATTACCAACTATTACTATTTATTGACATACTTGTTATTCTCTGTTGTTTTGTTCGACCTCTATTGGCATATGGGCTCCTATGCAGATGACTCGATATTGCCTGAATGTTAATTATGATAATTTGGTTGGTTTTGGCTAGCAGAAGAATCCGCGATGTGCGTTTCATCCTATTTGGGACTCGTCAGCTGGATGTAGCTGCACCCCAATGATGTTGTTCTCACTGGGACTCGAACCTCGTACCCATCGCTTCAAACGGTGAGGCGTCATTCACGACGCCACGGAGGAACGATAGCCAGAACCAACTAAATTATCATAATTAGCATTCAAGCAATATTGAGGCATCCGCATAGGAGCCCATATGCCAATAGAGGTCGAACAAAACAACGGAGAATAACAAGTATGTTGTGCAAGAAGTGGCTATCGTCTCTCCGTGGCATAATGGATAACGCCTTGGCGTTTAAAGTGATGTGTACGAGGTTCGAGTCTTAGTGGGAACAACACTTCTCACTGGGGTGCAGGTACACCCAGCTGACGGGTCTCAAACAGGACGGTACATGCATCCTGGATCCTTCTGCTAGCCACAACCAATCAAATTATCATAATTGCAGACTAGTTGGTTAGGACACTGACGGAGAGATATTGACAGGTCACTTCATACTGAAGTTAGTGTTGATGATGTCACTGTCTAGTAAGGCGATGAAAGCTTCACGATTAAACAACCTAGCCAGCTCAGAGGATACAATACAACCAAGATCATTCACCTGAACGATAAATATTCTCCAACAATTCAAAGCTGACCCCACCTATTTTCTCATATCATACATGCATAAATATCAACTGAATAGTAAATTTTACTCCAGTTTATTACCCCAATTTACTTTTATATATTTCTCTCTCTATGTATATGTATATATTTAAATTTATTTAACAGATTCAACACCAGTCAAGTAAACCAGCCTTCATTAGTAATGATAATGGTAATAGTATGATGAATAGAATAAATGATAATGTACGTCGTAAAATGGCACTTCCGCCTACACCGAATTCTTTCAATATTAAAGCACCGATACGATTAATTGGTGAAATGGATGATTGGAATCTACCAAGTTCAGATGAATCAGATATGAATATGGTAGCTTAAATTAATAAACAGAAAAACAAAAAGATACAATACAACAACTTGTTATCTTGACAACAATTACAATTAAATAGTATCTTTATAGGCAAAATTAAAGTATCCATTATTCATTCATTCCACTACCTTATCTATATGCCAAATATAGGACAGTAAGTAAATTTCATTGAAATATTTCTTATTAAGTATGTAAATATATATATATATATATATATATATATATATATATATAATATTATTATTATTATTTGTCCCTTGGGTTCTTAATGGGACATAAGGCTACAGTAGAACGTCTCCAGTGAACTCTGTTCTCTGAAATCTTTTGAACCTCACTCCACGATAGCCTACCAACTCTCATTTCCTCCTCGCACGATCTCCTCCATGTCACCCTTGCCTCGGATGCCCAACTCGTCGCTTCCCATCTTAGTTCCACTCGAGCAACTGCCGTGGCGTATGATGTCCCCTTCATTGGTTCGTCACCAGCCAGCCAGAGTTCCTTCTTGCTTATTCTTACTATTCTGGCCATCTGAGCATCAGCGACAAGCCAGTGTAGACAGTTGTCGATGAATGTCTGTAGTTTGTTGGAAATGCCTTCCGTAACGCGTCAAGTCTCTGAACCATACAGAAGCACTGACTTCACGTTGGTGTTGAAAATCTGGATCTTGTTCACGCTTTATGCTGAGTAGAGTGGATTGCAGTAGATCTCCACATTGGTTTCAGGTCAATGAACGCCTGTCTTGCTTTTCCGATTCTGACTTTGACGTCTTCTTCTGTGCCGCCACCTGTAGTTGAGACAGTGCTGCCTGGATAGGTGAAGGAGTCTACTTTTTTTAAGTTCCTCCCGTTGATAGTGATTAGAGTTTGTTGCTGTTTCTGGTGTTGTTGATTGGGTATCTTCATCACCTCTGTCTTCTCTACGTTCATTTGAATTCCCGTCTTCACTGCCTCACCTCTTCTGCCAACTTGACATTTCTTACCTGTAGATCTTCAAGTTTGTGTGACATCAGACACAAGTCATCATTTGCGAAATCCAAGTCTCATAGGTTCTTTTTCCCGGTCCAATCAGCGTATCCCTCTCTTCTCGCTCCTCACAGTTGTCTGTTGCATGATTCAGTCCACTACAATCAGGAATATCATGGGGGATTGTAGACAACCTTGTTTCACTCCTGTCTTCACTTCACTTCAAAGGCATCACATAGCATCCCATTGTGAATAATTTAGCATGTAGCATCTCGTAGTACTTAGATATTGAATGAGGTTGATAAAGGTTTGTGCCACTAACAGCTTAGTGTTGAAGCAGTTGCCAAATTACTTGTCGGTCTACGTTATCGAATGCCTTTTCAAATCGATGAAGTTGAGGTAGCGATCTAGTTGACTGCCATTTTATGCTCTGTTCTTTGATGATGCGTAGCGTCGCGTTGCGATCTGATCTGCACATGGTTTGTTCTTCCTGAAGCCAGCAAGCGTGTTCCGGTTGTAATTTAGAATCCAGAGCATCTTTTAGTCTCTGCGGGATGATGTGGCCTAATATTTTGCTTGGTGTGGATAGGAACATGATTCCGCGCCAGTTCTTGCAAACACTGAGGTCTCCCTTCTTCGGTTCTTTGACAAGGTAACCCTTCTTCCAATCTGCAGGTACCTTCCCTTCCTTCTACACCTTCTATAGTAGCGTTATGAGCAGGTCCACTGTTCTCTCTGCATCCGTTTTCAGTGCTTCTGGTGGGATTCCATCTGGTCCTGCTGCTTTCCCATATTTCGGTAGCTTTATGGCGTTCACGACTTCCACTTTCGTTGGAGGGCTCGTGTTCACTGGTAATTCTATGGCTGGACTGCTGGTGGTATTTAGGGACGAGTTGCAGGTGGTGGTTGTGTCGGTCGATCCAAGAGTTTTCTGAAGTGATCAGCTCATCGTTTCGTTTGTTTCTCCTCTTTGGTAACTAAGTTTCCTTCACTATCTTTCATTGGTTTCATCTGTGTTGATCTCTTCCCTGACAGATAGTAACCTGGTTATTTGGTACAGTGTTGTCTGGTCTCTCTTACCTGCAGCCTGTTCTGCTTCACTTGTCAATGTGTTATAGAAGTGTCTTTTCTCTTTCTGTGCACTCTTCTTCACTTCTTTGTCCAGTGTAGTGTTCTACACATTGTACTCAGTACCTGTTTTTGTTGTTCATCCCTGCACTGCAGTGGCTCATCATCTGTTTCACCATCTTCCTCTCCTCTATCAGCTTCCGTGTATCCATCGAGATCAATTCCTTGACTCGTTTCTCATTCCTTCCTAGCACGGTTATGCAGGTTTCTTCCCACATCTCCTTCAAACAGTTCCAGTGTTCATCCACACAGGTTTCTTTGGGGATGTTGCTCGATATCTCCCATTTTGTCTTGATGACTGACGTGAAGATGTCCCTTGTAGTTTCGTCCTTCACTTTCTGTTCTGGGTGTTGAACTTCAACTGTGGTCTATCACCAACTTCGTTGAAGCCTTCCAGCTTGATTTTGAAGGTAGGTAGGTTCCTTGCACTAGATAGGGAGTGTTGTGAGCCTACATCTCCTCCCCTTCTTGATTTGATTTTGTGTCCATTAGGCTGCGTCTCCACTTTCTTGAGATTGAGATAAGGTCGATCTGATAGGCACTCCCTCTGTGTGATCGTGTTTGTCGTCTGGGTGACCGGAGTAGATTATTGACCCTCCAGTTGACATTTTGGAGAGTCCACTTGCATTCCATCTGCTTTCGCAAATTCCCAACACTTCAATGCTATACCTTCACACCTCTTTTGCAATCTGGGCAGCCTTCCTAGCTTCAAACACTGTGCGATATTCCATGTTCCTATTCTTACTTTCACTTTCATCGAGAGAGAGAAGACACATCGGCCAATTGGCTTCCTGAAGGCTTTCACCAACCGGCGTCATTTCACCTCTCGGATTCCAGCGAGGAATAAGTTTGTTTTTATTTTAAATATTTTGTTTTGTGCTTCGAAGTCTCTTTAGCGGTTTGATTGATTTTACGGAGTAGGGTTGCTAGCCCTATGCCTAACCTTCCATCTTTATTCGGGCTTATGATCAGCTAGTAACTAGTGAATTAGTTAACCAGGCGAGGTTGACATGGTTGTTTACCGCTAGTTTACTTGACTATCAGCCCTCCGAAAATCCTTCGAACAACTTAGACTTGGCGAGTTGAAGTATTTCGAAGTTTACACAATCTAACGCATAGTCATGATACTATACTGAGATAAGGAACTTCATATAATGATATTTGACAATCAGCATGTGTTCATAAAAGCATCGTGATTGTTCCACATAGTGGCGTTCATAGTGATTGCAATCAATTTTGTAGACGACATTGCTCATAGCTCCTTTATTGACTAGGTCTCTTGGTTTACATAGGATATACTGTAGCGATCTTGTTGTTTTGTGTTACACTACGATTCCAAGTGGATGCTGGTGTAATTGAGGATATAGTTTGTGTGAATTGTTTTCCAGCATACATGAGTTCCAGGATGTTCACCACCACTTTTTCCAGCCAAAACATCTAAGAATACCAGCTGTGTTGGTTGTTTTCTTCCCAGTTTGTGAATTCAATTACTTGGAATACATTTTTGAGTAATTTTAACATTGAAAGAGTAAACCTTGGGCATCATGGCAAAGTATAATCGCACATTAGATTTGATGGATTGAGGCTGGCAATGGAATTCAGGATGCGCATCTCGTCCCATTTGGGACTTGTCAGCTGCTTCCTGCCAAGCGTTGTTGCCATCGGGATTCGGACTCGGGAGTGATCGCCGCACCACCAAGGTACGATAGCCACTTCTTGTGAGACGGGTATAGTTTTAAGTATAATTGTTTTTTTATATTGATTGGACGGAATTGATCGGTCTCTATTAGTATACGGGATCATGTACGTATGCGTCGATATTGCCTGTGCTCTAATGGTAGCAATGATGGATAGTGGCTAGCAGTAGAATCCAGGATGAGCATTTCGTCCTATTTGGGACTCGTTAGCTGGATGTACCTGCTTCCCGGTTAGTGATGTTGTCCCCATCGGTATGATATAAAAACAATTATACCACATTAGATTTGTTAATTTGATAATAAAAACAGTATAGTTTACTGGATGACGTTCTGAACAAAGTTTATTACTCATAAATCCCATCAAAAGAATCATTTCTTTGTATAATCCAAAGTTTCTTCATCCTCTTATGATCGTAAAATTTCTCAGAAATCTGAAATATGTTCTGAGTTATTCCTGTTACATGTATGTTAGATGTTGGTTAGCTCAATGAACGAGCATTATGTCATCAATCTCTCCTTCGACCTAGTTATACTGAATGTGAGAATTATCTTTTTGTTTCATCCACTGTAAAGTGGGATTATGGGTTGATGGAGCATGCAGAGAGGGATGGGTGACTTCTTCTCTAAACCACTTATCTTAGTAAGGTCTACCATTGTATGCTTCACTAACTTTTGTGTTCTACGATCCTGAATGACTCAGATAGGCTGCTTTGACGCACATACTTGACTTCACAATCACTACATGGTATTTCACTTAATTGACTGTAGTGGATCCTTTAGCCGATAAAGTGTCTCTATGAACTAGTCTGTGGGTTATGATAAATTTTTTTCAAATGAATTCTAGAGGGTAGTAATCAAGAAGTATTGTCTCTGTGGTCTATCTTATCCCCATATTTACGCCTTCCAAATTACTAGTGAAACTCCTAGCATGACTACTACTTAGACATTCTATCAAGCCTACCATGATAGATATAGGGTGAGATGATGTGAAATACAAGTATATATTCGAATGTGTGCTGCTTTTCTATAAACGGTGGTATCTGCGTTGCCTTCCACCTCCCCCCCCCCCTTTGATGATTCTACAGTCCAACACAGGGGTAACTCACCTGCTTTGTTTACATTTACCATTGAGTTGTATGTGTGTGTTTGTGGAAAACTGGACGTGTGGTCAGATTTTAATACAATGGTAAATGTGTCATGTACATATCACCAACACAATTT